CCCAGGGCTTGCCTGCCAGCCCGCTGGGTCCTGCCACCCCCACCCCAGAACCACAAGGTTGGAGCATCTGGTCCCCGTCAGCACAGTGGGCAGAGGGAGGGGCCTAGGGTTGTATTTGGCCTGCGGAGGACAGAGTTGTCTGTGTGTGGTGTGGGGGTGCTGAGGATGGGCCGGGGCTCCGGGGCAGTGACTGTCGCCTCGCCACACCCGTGGCCATTGTACAGATGGGGAAACGGAGGCCCAGAGGAGCCAGGACCAGCCTGGATCCCAAGAGTAATAAGGAGTCTCCTGCCTCCCCCTTGGCCGCTCCTTCCCATCTTTCAAGGCCTGGGGCTGTGCTCCGGGAAGCCGGCCACATCCTGCTGGTGGCACAGCAGCTCTGCTGGGAAGTCCTCCTTGGAGTCAGACTTTCACCCAAGGATCCGGGACCGCGGGATGTTGCAGAAATTCCTCTCCTCCTGGTCCTCGTGGCTGCCTCGTGCCACCTCTGGCCAGAGTGGTTGGGCAGCTCCTGCCCCACTTGGGGCCTCAATGCCCCCATCTGTGCAGCTGGGCGGCGGCTGGGGGCCCTGCATGGGGTCTGTGCTTCTGGGCACCCACCGTGTGGTGGTGGGTTCACATGTGTGTGGATATACATGCGTGCCCTGGTGGGTGAGCTGCCGCCCACGGGCCTGCCCGCGCCTGGACGGGGTCCCCAGGACCTGCTGCACAGCAACACTTGACCTACTTCTAAGGCTCTGGGTCTGGCCCAGGCCGCGTTCTCGACTCCTCCGGGAAGTGTGGGCCTGCATCCCAGCCCAGAGGCCTCGGGCCAGGAGGGGCGGTCTGGGGCGGGCCAGGGCAGCCTGTGGGGCCTGCGGCCAGGGGGACTAGAGCCCGACCCTCCTTCCCTGCCCCTGGCTCCTAGGCCCAAGGGATGGCCAGGCCTTAGCCATCCCTCCCTCCCGTCACCCTCCACCACCCCCTCCACGTGGCCACCATATTTTGAGCTCCCCAAATTGGCTCCGACAGGATGAGGGACATTCCTCATGCCCCTCAGAGGAACACTACCAAGAAGGTCTGCCAAGCACTCACCCCCGCCTTTTGCCAAGATTTTACCCTCTCCCCTTCTCCCGCCCTTGTCTACCCAGAGCCATAGGCAGTGCCATTCTGGAAGGCCAGCAGCCCCTGTCCTGGGTCCTGGTCCTGGGTCCTGGGTCTTGAGTCCTGGATCCGGACTCTGGGTTTAAGGTCCTGGTCCTCCACCCCTAGGCTCTTGGGTCTGGAGTCTGGATTTAAGGTCTGGGTTTGGCATCCTGGGTTTGAAAGTCTGGGTCCCCGGAGTGCGGTCAGGTTCCAGGCTCTAAGCTGGGGGTTCAGATCCTGAGACCGGAGTCTGGAGTCTGGGTTTGGAGTTCCAGGTTCCAGGTCTGGAGTCTGGGTTCTGGGCTGGGATCCTGGGTTCTGGGGTTTGGGTTTGGATCCAAAGGCTGGTTTCTATCCCTTTTACGCCCCCTGCTGGCTGCTCCTCATGGTCAAATCGCTGCCGAGGCCATGGAGTCAGTCACCTGGCCTTCTCAGGCTACTGAGAAGACCCTCAGCCAGGGGGTGGGAGTGACAGGCAGAGCAGGCCTGGGTTGAGGCGGCAGCAGCTGTCGGCTGCCCTGCTGTCCCGGGGCGCCCCTTGCAGTGACCCAGACTCTAGCCAGTCTGCTAGCAGCCCCCACCCCAATCTCCCCTGACCCCATGCCATGGATAGTGTTTGGCAATGGGTCCCCGCTCCCTGTGAGAAATGGGTAAATTGAGATGTTTGGGACATTTGCTCATCCCACACTCATTAAGTGCCTACTGTGTACCAGGCTCTGCCGGAGACTCTGGGGATATATAGATGTGGGACGAAAACTCCTCCGCGCTGGCTGACGCTCCTGGGGATGGGCAGTCAGGGCGAGAGACAAGGCAGAGCGAACAGACCCAGGGTCGTCTGAAGAGGCTTCTCAGAGGAGGTGACAGATCCCCGAGACCAGGGGCTGACCAGGAGCAAGCCACGGCCAGGGTCCCAGCCAAGGGTATGAGGGGAGGAAACAGCCTATGCAAAGGTATCAGGGCTGGACATTAATCTAGAAGGAGGCCAGTGGGGCCAAGTGTCTTCTGCCTCTATACACGCGCCCCTCAGAAGTCAGGGCCCACATCTTTCCCAGTGGCTGGGGAGATGGGGGGGCTCTGGAATGTGGGACTCGGGAGTCTGCGTCAGACTGGGTCACCACTCAGGCGCTGGAGTTGGAGGAACCAAAGGGGTGGTAGTATCCCCGACCCCTACCCCTGTCCCCAGGCTCTCCAGACCCCTCAGGCCCTGCCTGGATCTTGCCTGCTGGCTGTCATTCCCGAGGGGCACAGAGCTCAGGCTGGGACCTGGGGGAGAGAGGAGAGCCAAGCCTTAGTGTGGCCCACCCTTACCACCCACTGCCTGCCCCTCCCTCTTATAATGCCCCGCCCCCTGCTCAGCGGCCGGCCCACCTGCCCACCCCCTGCCTTGCTTCTGGCCTCAACAGCCTAGCCTGCTGGTTGTAGACGGGTCTGACCTCAGCAGAGCCCCTGCTGGGGGCTGGGGGTTAGTTCTAGCTTAAGAGCGCTCCCAGGAGCCCCAGCCCCAGCCTCTCCATCTGAGCCCTGGGGAGGGAGCGGAGGATGGCTCTGTGCCCCGTGTCCTCACTGCAGGACCACATCTGCCCCGTGCATGAGGGAAGGGGACCGAGACTGCCCCCCCCCCCCGACCCCGCAGCCACGCTCCCCCAGGCAGAGGAGGTGGTGCTGTGTGATTCTGACTGGCTGTGTGAGCCTGCCCACCCCGTAGCACAGACCTGGAGGCTGAGGCTCAGGAGGCCCACGTCGCTCACCTGCCCCTGTTCAGGCTGGAGTCGGGTGGTTTCTGAGGCATGGCAGCTACGTGCGGATGAAAGAAATGAGATCAGAAGTCTGGGTGACCCTGAGTGTGTCCTCTGTCCTGGGCCTCGGTTTCACCCGTGATGAATGAGAGGGGGTTGGGTAATATCTTGGTTGTGCCTGTGGGTGGCCGGAGTCCCCATGAGGGCCACTGGGCCTGGGCAATGGGGCTGCCCAGAGGCCTCTCTCTGTGTGTCCCCCTCTGGCTGTGTTTTCTTGTGGTATTTCTGGCTCGTCTCTGTGGACCCTCCCCCACCCCTTTTTTTCTCAATACTCTTGCCAAACATCTGGAAGGAAAGTGAAAAACTTGCCTCCCCCCCGGCACCGGATGTTGTCAGATTTCCAGATGTGGGGTGTTCTGCCCTCCAGATGAGGGGAGGAATGTCCTGTGTTTCAGCTAGGAGGGGGCAGGACCCCATCCCTCGACTGCTGTCTCCCTCTCCAGGAGGATGAGTGTTAAGAAGACAGTGCGGGGACTCCAGGTAGAGTCCCCCTCCCCCCATAAATCCTGCCTTCAGGCTCTGGCCCCAGCCCCTCTCCACACCCAGGAATTCCCCCCAGGGCCTGGAGAGGGGGGGCATTGCCTCTGAAGTTTCTATCAAAGGCTCCAGGCACTTAAAAATAACAAGGAGCACCTCCTTCCCACACCCCCCCCCCCCCCCCCGCCCGCCGCCCCGGCACAGACGCCCAGGAGAGGAAAGGAACCCAATGTGCTTGCAAGATGTCCTTACTCTCAGAAGTAAGGACGTTTGCCCAGAGGGGCCTCATGCCACCTCAGCCTTCCCACCTCCCTGACTTTCCCAAATAGTGGCCTGGCCAGGCTGCCCTCCGTCACTGCCATCTGCTGAGGGCTGGGCACTGGGGTGGGCACCAGGGGGCAAACCTCGCTCAGCTCCCTGAGGTTCCTCAGAGACACAGAACCTCCCCCAGCTCCCCCCGCTGCCACCCCGAAAAGGACCAGCAGAGGCAAGCGTGGGTCGGTGGGACACCGACAAGGAGCTTCCAGGGAGAGGGGGCTGCGGGGCCTGGAATGCACCAAGCAGAGCAGGGGCAAGGGCACCCTGCAAACGGGGCAGGGGGTATGGGGCCCGGTGAGGGCCGGCCCCGAGCTGTGTGGGTAAAGTGGGCCACAGGCCGGTGCAGGGAAGAAAGGAGTTAGGAAGTGGAGTGAAATGGAGGAGCTAGGGGCAGGGCCAGCCAGGTGCAGGTGAAGGGGGCTGTGGGGGCGGCTAGGCTGCCCGACTGGGCTGGGTGGCTGTGCCCTCGGGGGAGTGGGACCCATTCCATTGCCCCCGGCGGTGTTTCTGGGGCCCCTCAGGCTGGGGCTGCAGCTGCCTGCGAGCCATGACCAGACCCTCACACAAGATACATATAAACACCCAGCCACAAACACACGGAGACTGCACTCACAGACACATGCACAGAGACACACACAGACACGTGCGTACGTGTAAACACCCAGACGCAGACCCGCCGAGCCGACACACAGGCAGGCACGGGCCGTCCCCCCCAGACACACAGATGAAGCACACAAGGACCCCCCCCCAAATGTGAAGACAGCTAGACAATACACTGATACACACAGATGCTCCCGCCATAGATAAACAGACACACGCAGAGTCCCCCTCCCCCGCCATGGACCCACTCCCCACACCCCCCCCCCAAAAAAAAAACACAGACCCAGACATGTGGGAATTCGATGCGCAGCCGGGAAGTTTAACTCAGGAGGTGCCCTCAGGTAATCACAGTCCTGCCCCACCACGGCACACGCTTGGTCCAGCCTTCCGGTCCTGCTCAATTTATCACCTGCTGAGGGTTGTTGTGCCTATGGGTGCTGAGTGTGCGTTGAGCAGTGGCCTCGGTCCTCTGCTCCCCCTCCCCCTCCCTCTCCCCAACAGGTGATTGGGAGGAATGAAAGTCCTCCCTCCCCCCACCCATTCCTGAGCCTGAACAATGCCCTCCCCAGGCCCCAAAATAGCCCCTGAGCTTAGCCAATGTCCTTTTATGGCCCTGTCCCTATTGTGCACTGTGGGGGTGGGGCTGGGGTCAGGAGGTGTCCGTACAGGATAAAGGCCAGGCCCCGGAGCCTCACCTACCCTGCTCTCTGCTTCCCTCTCTCCGTGTCCCTCTCCGTGCTTACAGCTTCCATGGCCCCCAAAAAGCCAGACCCCAAGAAGGACGACAAGGCAGCCTCCAAGACAGCTCCCGCTCCGGCGCCTGCACCTGCGCCTCGGCCTGAGCCCGAGCGCCCCAAGGAACCTGAGTTTGATGCCTCCAAAATCAAGGTGGGTGTGGGGGCTGGGTTTCGGCAGGAAAGACAGGGCAGGCACCCCCTTCTTCCACTGTGGGGTGTCACGTCCATGCCAAGCCCCCCAGGGTGACCGGGGTGGGGGGCATGGGGAAGTGAGGCCCCTGCCCAGGCTGGGTCACCCTCACCCCTACCAGGGTGGCCGAGCCCCAGAGCTGGTTGGACCTCAGCTTTTTAGGTGGGGAAACTGAGGCACAGGCTGAGTAGTTCACTCAGGAAATTGGTCTTGGGGCTGTGACCAGTGGACCCAGAGCCCGTCCCCAGTTAAGAAGTCTTTCTCCGAGCCTAAACTTGGAGGAAGAGCCGTGACTCCCGTGACATTTGCAGAGTGGCACGCACCGTGTGTCCTGCCTGCTCCCTGTTCTTGGCTGGCCACCGGTCACCGCTGTCCGGGCTGCTGGCTGAGGGGCCCTGTGGAGTCCTCCCAGCTCCTCACGGCTCCTGCCTGTCCAGCCAGACCTGAAGCCCAACTGCACAGACTATCTTTGTGATCCCTTCCGGGGGTGGGGGCTACCTTGTCCCTCAAGACATGGGCTCCAATCCCAAATTTGCTCCATCCTGTTCCCTGCTCTGGGGCGTGGCTTCCTCAGATGTGACATGGGACAAGAAGCCCTCCTTGCAGGCTCCTGGGAACTGTTTGGGGAAAATGTGCCCTGGAGTTGGCTCTCTGAGCCCCCAACCACCCCCAGGGTCTAAGCTTGTGTCCCGCGGGCCCCCTGGTGGCCTGGTCCAGTCTCACCGGCTGACAGACTCCCCTGTGAGGGGAGGGCACAGTGAAGCCCGTCATGTGTCCCCCTGGCTCTCCCCATCGGGCTGGCCAGTGAAAGGCAGGAGGCTTTGCCAGGAGGCTCAGGAGTCTAACCTCAGCAGGCTTCCTGGTGGTGAGAGAGGTCTCAGGGGCCGGGAGCAACAAGTTGTTCTTCCAACACAGCTTTGAATCCGAGAGCCAGAAGGGACGAGCATGGCAAGGTGGCCGGGCAGGATATCCCTCTGCACCGGGATGTGCCCGGTTGGTGGGGCTCCCAGGGAGCGGCAGTGGGAGATGTGCCAGGCATGCCCTCTCTCCCAAGCTCCTTTCCCTCCTGCGACCTTGACCTTGGGACGAGTGACTCCAGTGATAAAAATAGACCTGGTATCCAGTGAGGAGGGGGAAACCGGGTCCCAGGAGGCCTCCTGACCTCAACTGGCTCTCTGATGTGGCCTCAGTAGACACTCAATACCACCACCGTGTCCCCAGGCTGTGCTGGGGTGGGCGCTGCCCGGGGCTTGTGGGTGGGGTGTGTAAGACCCAGGTGTAGTCAGGGCCATGTGAGTGACAGTGCCCAGCCTTGAGGTCTCTGTGAAGGGCAAGCATATGTAAACACTTGCAGACACACGTGTGTGAACACCCACAGGCATATCTTACACACATACACACACACACACGTGCGGGTGCGTGCACACGCACACATCCCTGTGGATATGCTCTCATGCTGACAGAAACCCACGCTCCTCACTCATGTGGACAGCCTTGCCCACCGAGCCCCAGGCCTGCTGGGGGGTGGCAAAGCCAGCCTGGTCAGATCTGCTGGCTTCAGACACATCCATCCAAGACCAAGGGCATCAGGTAAGGTGGGCTACCCTGGGCTGGGGACTCAGGGCACCAGGCCAGCCTTCTCGCCCTTCCCCAGATATGGCCCACCAGCCATCAGGGTCTGGGCACACGCGGACCCAAGGCCCTCAGCTTGCACGGACTGGGAGGGGTGAGGAGGCAGGAAGGTGCCAAGGTAGGTGGCAGGTCATGGGGGCAGAAGCTGGGATGCTGGCAGTCTCCCCCTGCCAGCCTCCTGGCAAAGCCTCCTGGCTTTCACTGGCCAGCCCGATGGGGGAGAGCCAGGCGGACACATGGGGCAGCCAAGAGGTTGAGGCCTGGGCTGTGCCCATGGAGCGTGCAGGTGGAGATCTGGCCCCACCCTCTGAGCCGGGCACTCAGAATCTTTGGGGTCTCCTTTCAGATCGAGTTTACACCGGAGCAGATTGAAGGTAAGTGAGGGTCTTGAGCCCAGGGGCTGCAGGGTTGGACCCAGGGCCCCCAGTCTGAGAGTCTGGCCAGTGTGGGGTGAGTGGGGCGGACTCTGTGAGTGTCCACAGTTCACACCCTCTCCTGGCAGAGTTCAAGGAAGCCTTCATGCTGTTTGACCGCACGCCCAAGTGTGAGATGAAGATCACGTACGGGCAGTGCGGGGACGTCCTGCGGGCGCTGGGCCAGAACCCTACACAGGCCGAGGTGCTCCGTGTCCTAGGGAGACCAAAGCAGGAAGGTTGGTATGCGTTCATGCATACAGAGGCAGGTCTCAGGCTGTGCTGACATGGCAACAAGCAGTGAGTTTGCAGAACCATCCCGCCCCCTGCTCATTCGCCACCCAGCCTCAGTGGCCACCTCCTGGTCTCCGCCATGTCTCTCTGGCGTTCGGGGCCAGACTCCCTCGCCACTTTTGCCACAAAAGGGTTGCCAGGGTTGCCACTTTGCCCCAGGGAGGCATGGGACCCAGGCCCCCTCCACAGGTTGCACAGTCCCAGGGAGGGTCTCTGATTGGCCCCACTGCTCCTGAGCAATCCCCGGTGGTGGGGAGGGTGGGGTCTATAAGAAAACCAGCAGCAAACTGTCCCTGTGAACAGCAAACGATTACGTAAATGATGCATGTCTCGCTTGACTGTAGCGTGTCCCGTGATGGGGATGTGGTTTGTAAATGGCCAGCTGGTGTAGAGCGCTTTGGGACTGTGTGAGGGCAGTAGCTCTGCACTCTGCCGTCCGGCGGGGACGGCTGTGCCTGTCCTGCCCCTCAGAGAGGCCTTACCTCCCCAGAGCTCAACACCAAGATGATGGACTTCGACACCTTCCTGCCCATGCTCCAGCACATCTCCAAGAACAAGGACACGGGCACCTACGAGGACTTTGTGGAGGGGTTGCGGGTCTTCGACAAGGAGGGCAACGGCACGGTCATGGGCGCCGAGCTTCGCCACGTGCTGGCCACGCTAGGTGAGGGCCCCCTTCTCACCTCCACTCCTCCTTTCGGGGAGGCGTCCTGGGGAAGACCCCTCTGTCACCCGCGGGGCCCGCATCTGATCTGTGAAATGGACAGAGTGACATGGTCAAGGGCCCTCCATGGCAGCTGACAGAGATGTGGGGAGTTTGGAAGTTTAGGTAGGGACAAAGAAAGTGTGTTGGTGCAGCTCACGGAAACGAAGGGGGATAAGGGCAGCTCTGGGGACAGGGTCGGAGGCCGGGGGCAGCGTGGTGCATCCAGCATGACCGGTTCAGTCCCGGTGTTCATGGTCTCAAGGTCAGATTCCAGGGACACAGCAACGAAGTGGCCCAGTAGGTAAGGGGTCTGCTTCTTGGGCATCTTGACTCCACCATCTGGCTGACTGACCCCCTTCTCAAAGGAGATTTTCGTACAGAAATGTTTATTGAGCACCTACTATATCTGCTCAAAGCAACTTTTCCCTGCACCAGACGTTAACTGAACTCCTACTGTGTGTTGGGCCCTGGGCTGGTCTCTGGGGTTTCGTGCGTGTGTGGCTGGGGGTAGGCGGTCACCCCCCACTGCAGTGGGGGGACCAGTGTAGCACACAATACCCAGAGGCAGGAAAGTGGCAGACTTGTCTGGAGAACAGAGATGTTGTCTCCTTGTCTCCTCCACCATCATCCCCCAAGGCCCTCAGCTCCGCCCCATGGGCCCTTCCTCTAGCCTCAAAAGGCTGCCCCAAGGGACTGCTTCCAGGGACATGGGGGGCCTGGCTTCCTCTTGATGGAAGGGGTCCCCAGCAGCCTGCTGAAAAAAGGGGACAGTGTGTGCTGGGGACTTGAACACCAAGCCGGTACTGTTATGGACAGAGCCCAGGCTTGGAGGGTGCACCAGTCCTGCAACCCAGGTCTCCCCTGTTTTTGACTTGTCATTGATTCTCCTGGTCTCAGAAATGGGGGTGGTGGCCAAGGCCTTGTGAGTCGGGATGACTGTGCCAAAGTGAGGTGTGGGAGTACTAGGGAGGCATCCCACCATCCAGAGGGGCTCCGTGCCCCCCCCCCCCCGGAATTCATACCCTTCCCACGGTGCTGACTCAGCCTCCCGGGCCAGGTGAGAGGCTGACAGAAGATGAGGTGGAGAAACTGATGGCGGGGCAGGAAGACTCCAACGGCTGCATCAACTATGAAGGTGCGCTAGCTCGGCAGGCTGGGGGCTGGGGTGGGGCACTGGGACCCTGGGCTCCTGCCCGTGGCCACTGGGTGCTCAACCCCTGCCGCTCGCTCTGCCCTTCTTTGCAGCTTTTGTGAAGCACATCATGGCCAGCTGAACCTCTCGTCCCAGGTGAGACCTCCACTCCTTTCCAAACCTGCTGCCACCTTTGCGGCCTCTGCCGACCTCTGCTGCTGTCGCCTCGTGCCCCAGCTTCCAGATCCTGCATTGCTACCTCCCCGTCTCCACCGAGCCCAGCTCTCAGTTGACGCCCCGCTCTCTCACCCCATCCCAACCACTGTAACCTGTGCCCACCTTTACTCTCAGGGAGAGCCCATGCTGGGGACAGCTCATCCCCCACTCATGGTGCTGACGCCAGCCACCTGGAGTTGCGGGGAGGAGGGGAGCGCATCGAGACTCCTACAGCAGCCCCCTCCACCGGCCCTGCAGACCTCTGGGTGCCTGTCATCTCCCCCTACAAGCTGTGCATCTCTGTCCTCACCCTATGGGCCTCACGAATAAATGGCATCTTTCCTTCCTTCCTTCCTTCCTTCCTTCCTTCCTTCCTTCCTTCCTTCCTTCCTTTCTTCCTTCCTTTCTTCCTCCCTCCCTCCCTCCCTTCCTCCCTTCCTTCCTTCCTTCCCTTCCCTCTCTCCTTCCTTCTTTCCCCTCTGTGGCCCTTTGGTTGTTTCTGTAAAATTTATGAGCCCCACATGGTGAGCCCTGGACAAAATGAGAGGAGTCATGCCGAAATCCTGGCTCCTTGCTCCCCCGCAAAACTATCCCAAACCCTCTGAGCCTGCCCACCAGGACCCTGGGGTAGGAGCAGGGCTGAGCTGGAAGAGGGCTGGGTGCCCCTCCCTTGCTCTTATCCTCCCCTTCTCCCTTCAGGGGGTGGCACCACCAGCAATCAGGGATCCATGGGGCGTTGGCCCAGGGCTGCCCATGTCATAGGTGGGGAAACTGAGGCCCAGAGCAGAGAATGGCCTTACCTGAGGCACCCTGGGAATGAATGGCAGGGCGGGAGCTAACTTTGTCCCCAGGCTCTCAGAATTGAAGGGGCCTTAGACTCCCGACTGGCTCAGATGGGGAAACTGAGGCACTGTGCCTGTGGTGTGGCTGTAGGCCAGAGGAAGAGGCTTTACTGGGGCAGTATCTGGGGTCCCCAGTGGGTTCCCTAGCCCCGGGCTTCTCAACAGAAGATAAGTGTGCAGTCCCTGCAATGACAGAAGGAGGTACATACACCTCCTGCAAATCCCTGCCCCGTTGCCCACACCCTGCTCAGGCGGCGGGGGGAGGCCCTCCTTCCCTCCCCTCGGAGCCCAGTGGGGAGGGTGAGAGGGGGCTTCCTGGAGAAGGTGACCCACCATGCAGAGAGGCTGTGGGCCCTAGGGACGGGGGGTGTGGGGGAGACCAAGGGCTCAGAATGGGGAGTGGGCCACACAGGGCAGGAATCAGCCTGCAGGCCAGGAGGACCCAGGTCAGGGCAGTTCCATCAGGGTGCATGCGAGCGCGTCTGCGTGGGAGGGGAGCCTGCGCGAGTGGGTTTGAAGACGAGCAGAGCTCGGGCTGCCCGTGGGCATTGGTGTGGTGTGGGGACCTGCCTGCGAGCATGTTGGGATCGTGAGTATGAGTGTGTGGGGGGCATGTGCCAGCAGCGTATGTGAGGCTGTATATGCGAGGGGTGTGAGCGTCTCTGCAGGAGTCTGTCTCATCTTCCTTTCATTGTCTCTGAGTCTCTGGAGCACCGCCTGAGTGCCAGCCTCTGTCCTATCCCTGCGAACCCCAGAGTGGAGAAAACAGTCAAAACCTCTGCCCTCACGGAGCTCACAAAGACCTGACAAATCACCGCCCATAAAGTGTGTCAGCCAGTGATAAAGGCTGAGGAGGGACCCAAGTAGGGGAGAGGCCGGGCGGGCGCGTGTGTGTAAGAGCTGGGAGGGGCTGACATGTTAAATCAGGAGGCCAGTGATGACCGGAGAAGGTAATAGCCAGGCAAAAGACTTAAAAAGAGAGGAGATAATACGCAGAATATATAAAGGACTCCTGCAAGTCTACAGCAAAATAATAGACAACCCCATTCAAAAACGGGCAGAAGACTTGAATAGACATTGCTCCAAAGCAGATCTACAAATGGCCATTTAACATGTGTGTAGATGTTCGACATCACTAGTTAGGGCAATGCAAATCCAAACCGCCGGGAGATCCCATTTCACACCCAGTTAGGAGGGCTCTTATTCAAGAAACAGGAAGTAACAAGAGTTGTGAGAACGTGGAGAAATCGGAGCCCGCGGGTGCTGTCGGTGGGAACGCAAAATGGTGCAGCCGCCAAAAATGGTGCGGAAAACGCTATGGAGGGTTGTCACAAAATTTTAAAACACGTTCCCATATGATCCAGCAATGCCATTTCTAAGGGCCTTCCCAAAAGAATTGAAAGCAGGGACAGAGAGATACTCATACCCCCATGTTGATAGAGTCCCAGGGTGGAAAAAGCCAAGTGCGCATCGACAGATGAATGGATAGACAAAATGTATTCTACACAACGGCCCAGTCTTCAGCCCCGAAGAAGGAAGGACATTCTGACACTTGCTACAACATGGATGGACTTTGAGGATATTACGCCAAGTGAAATAGGCCAGACCCAGATGACACAGTGTGACTCCACTTAAAGGAGGTATACCTTGGGTCATCGAATTCATAGAGGCAGAAAGTAGAATGGTGGTGGTAGGGGGCTGGGGGGCAGGGGCGAGTGAGGAGCTGTTAAAGCGGAGAAATAAGCAAGAGACACTCCATCTCTCGATGGAGCGTCTTAGCTGCGCTTCCCCAGAAGCAGAGCTGGGACCGAGCTGGAATGCAAGTCGTCTCCCCAGGAGGTGACCCCGGGGAGCATGGGAGAGCCACTAGAAGGGAAGGAAGTCTCCACGGGGGCCGGGAGCAGAGAGCACTGTGGACAGGGGGGCCTGGCCCCTCTGGGCACCTCCAGGAGACTTGACCTGCTGAGGGGATGAAGAAATCAGACTCTCCAGCTACTCGGGTCTTCACCGGTTGGGGCAGGGCCTCCTAGGCAGGTTGGAACGTTTGTTCGTGTGGGGCACTTCAGCATCTGCTCTAGGCAGCTACGTGGGCATCGAGGGAAGACATTCCTGCTGGGGGCACAAAGGCCGCTGAGATGGGGGCAGACAGCGCCATGGGGAGGTGGTGGGGCCTGAGTCACAGAGGTGACCGAGGGCCTGTGGCCACGGCAAGGGCTTTGGCATGTGCTGGGGGGAGACTCTTTATCAGCATCACTCGGGCCCCAGGTGGAAGGAGAGTAGACTTGGGGGGGCACGAGCAGAAGCGGGGGGACGAGGCAGGAGGGTGCGGGAGAGAGAAGCAAATCTGTGCTTGGCCCAGTGGAGATGAGAAGCGGTCAGATTGCAAGTCCCTTTGAAACCAGTCTTAGCAACGTCTTGGGCCGATTTTGAGGCTTTTGAGGCCTTCTGGTTCCTTTCCTTGTCTCCACACAGTCCACTCCAGCCCCAGATCCCCTTCGGGGTGGCAGGTGAGGGACTGTAGGGTCTGCTCGTTATGGTGCAGAGTCCGGCTGGCTGGTGGGGCAGGGAACAGAGGCACGTGTGGCCTTGCTGTGGCGGCCTCTGCTAGTCGGGGTGCCTCCTGTGGACGTGTGGCCCTGCTGGACTCTGGCGAGCCTCCCTGGACAACTGGGCCTGGGGACCCCCACAGGAAATGATGTGGTCCCTTTGGTCCCAATCAGGGTGGGGAGCCTCGTGAGGGGCTGATAACCTTCTGGGCAGTCCCCCCACTTTCTGCCTGCCCCCTTCCCCGCTCCCCATTCCTGCCTGCCCCAGCCACTTCCTTCCTGGAATGGCTGAGCTCCCTGTCAAAAGTCTCCAGGGGCCACATGGGACTGGGAGGTCGCAGCCTTCTCGTTCTGGGGATGCCCACCCTGGGCTGGGGTCCTGCGGGCAGGGGGTTGCACCTGTCCTGTCATCTTCAGGCAAGAAGGGACCCTGCCTCCAAGTTCATGTATGTCCCGGATCCCTGGGGATATGAGCTCTCTCAAGGATGCTTGTCCCTGCTCTGGTTTTCAGGATGGTCCTGCAGTGCTCCCAGGCTCCCTTGGCTCCCGGAAGGGAGGCAGAATCCCACACATTCCCCCAAGACACTTTGCAGCCCACACCGGCCAGTCGTCCTCTGCAGACTGCGGAGGAAGCGGGGGAAAGGCTGGGGGTGGCCGGTCGGGGTACGCGGGGGCTGTTGTGTCTGATATGCTCGGGCTGGGGTGGGTTGGCCCCACTTGTTGGGGTTCTACTCCACTTGGAGTAGGTCTCTGTCCCGGGGGGGCTGTCATTCCTGGACTCAGGTCACTGGCTGTAGGTCCAGGTGTCAGAGTGGATGGGTGGGGGACCCCGAGGGTGCCACTCGGGGAGCTGAGCGTTTTCCTCGCCCCGCATCCCTCGTCCCCCACCTCTGCTGGGTGGAATGCGTATTTCCGTGTGTCCCCGTGTGTTTGCGTGTGCTCGTGCCCACAAGCGGGCCTGTGTATCTGTGCCTGTGAGTGTATCTGTGGGTGCGTGTATACCTGTATATTGTGTGTGCCGCTGGTCTGTGCATTTGCACAAGCGTGTGTGCCTCTGTGTGTGCGCATGTCTGTGTCTGTTGGCATGTGTGTCTAAGCGTGTACGTGCTAGGGGGCTCTGCTGAGTCTGTGCCGGTGCCGAGCGGGTAGCCCTGCCAGCCGGGCTGTGGCCTCCCCACAGTTACATAAACACTGTCCCAGCTCCCCCCTCAAGCAGGGTGGTCTAGCCTGTGGCCCTGTGGCCGGTGGAAAGGGATTGGAGGGGGCAGAGGGTTGGTGCCCCTGTTAACCTGGTCCCCTCCATGCCTCGAGGGCCGGGGCCCGTGCTCTGTAAGGTGGGGTCCAATCTGGGGTCTCTCTATGCCTCCCTTCCCCCACCCCTGAGGCCTGATCTCTGAGGTCTTTCTAAGGTGGCAGGAATATTCACCTCTGGTTTCAGTCCTGGTCCAGGCTGATCCAGAGGGTCAGCGGGGCAGCCCAGGGAAACTGGGGGCCGGGGGTGGTGGTGAGCCTCAGGACCCCAGAACCAACTGTCCCTCCTCTGTTCCAACATCCCTGCTTGGCTGCTTCTGGCTCTCGGCAGCCTGCTACACCCTGCAGCTTCTCCCCAGACGCCATCCTCGGTTCAAGGGGTCACCCCTGGGACATGGAGCAGATAGCACTTAACTGGGTGGCCGAGAAGGCCAGACACTCAGGCCGAGGTAGAATGAAGTCAGCCAGGGTCTTGAAGACATCAAGTGTTAGAGGAAGATCTTCCTAGGCCACGAGAAGAAAGGAAATCAGACTGCGGGTATGAGAAACTGGGTGCTAGGGCCCAAAGTGCTCCACAGCAGAGGGGCCGACAGAAAGCTGGTGACCATCTTAAGAGAACTCGGGGGTGGAGTAAAAGGGTCCAACCACGGACTGTATGAAGTCAGGGGCAGGGTGGGGTGGGCTGCAGAGGAGTTTCAGAGGAGAGGCA